ATAAATTGAAGCTTCAACTAATCCACACAGTGCTCTCAGCTCCCTACAGCTCAACACTGCTCAATGGCTGCCCAGGGAACATAAACATGTGAATGTCATCGCAGCCACTGCCAGATAACTTGCCAAATCTGACTGCAAGATCACAACACATACATCAAGACAAGCGTTGGTCCCACAACATGAGGTGCATGTGTGGTATTTTTATCTTATATCCTTTATCATGTTGCCAATGATAGCTATATTTTCAGTTTGAAGTCATATTGTTGCAAAGGACCAACAAATAAACTGTACTGTGCTGAACTAGCAACAAAAGAATTGCATGTGGCCATTAACGTCTTGACTAAACAGAAAATATATTTGTTGACATCTAATAGTAAGGAATATTCTCCATGTGTGGCCCTTGTACTTACTAAACTGTGATTCAAATAATAGCATGACAGAATATTTCAAGAGTATCATAAAATGTTGATCACCTTACTTTCAATCTTCATCGCTGAAAACCACATCATCTTTTTGCAATTACAATGTCCCAGTAGCAAAATTAGCAGAAGAGACATTTTAATTTGTCTACAAATTTCACAAACTCTAAGAAAATATAACGTGGGAAAAAACATATCTGAAGAGCACTAATGTTTTTTTTTATTCTGTTGTCACCTATGGTAAACTGATAGAGTCACACCCTTCAGAGGACAACTGAAAGGTGGGCTGTATACATGTATATAGTGCCATTTCCTAACGCCTTCCTGTTATTGTACAGAATTATCTATTGATAACAGGAACAGATTTAAATTTATTGCAAAGTGCAATTAATGTAATGAGACAATCTTGTCAAGGTGGTTTTTTTCAGGCCTGCAATGCTCAGGTCTCCCTGCAACCCCACCCGTTTGATGGTATTTGTCTCACAGTCAAGAAATTACACTTTTTGATTTGCCAAACATTCGGGCAACTTGGGATATTGACGTTCTCCCACCCACCTCTATTGTACCCACAATTCGCCATTTTGTCTGTTCAATGAGATACTGTCTCAGAGGCATTTTTCAGAATGTGCTCAGCTCAATTGCATTAGTGATTGTTTCCCTATAGGCGCACATACTTTGGCTTCTGTGTGCACATGCATCACATGCTGTTCATGCATAACGTATTGTAAATGTAGACCTCAACAAAAGTTACGTTCAAATAGTTAGTTCCCTCATTTTTTGTCAGTGGTCTATATCATGCACAGAAAGGGTAAAACTGCAAGACCAGACACACACTTCTTATATGGAAACCATTTTTTTAAGAACAGAAAAACAGTCTTCATGACTTTTTCACTTTTTTTTCCCAACCTACCAAACCAGGATTTTTTAAATATAAAATCTGTCAATCAAGAAATATAGAAAAGTTACCACAGTTTTTCAAAGGAACATCAAAAGTCACTTTTGAAAACCTCTGTAAAGTATACAAATACATACAAATGAAACAAGCAGAGTATATTAAAAGGTTTATCAAGGTATGTCCTTCTGTATGTTTCAGTTGTATTTTGTATGAAATGAGATAATTGTTTAACTGTGTAATCAGTGCTTCATTCTCAAGCTTTTCTGGTGAGTTCTAACCATGTCATTCACAAACATAAGTTTACATAACAGAAATGTGGTACATATCAATACATCACGAGAGCTGAAAAATGCTTAAACATGATTCATTGCATGACAACAAAAAATAATAAATGGTCTCACATGTTGAGTCATCATATTTTACCAGATTGAGATAGATTTGAAACTTCTAATTGGTGTACAATTACAGCATATATACTTGAAACCATTTGGGCAACAAGTTACTTGTCTCAAATGATGAGGTAAAACCATGAAAACTCCATGTGTGTTTCTCATCTGCAAAGCGAGATCATCTTCATCCACATAAGTATCATCCACATACTTGAGATGTGACTTTTACCTGAATTGTGCCCGATATCAAATGTGGGTCAGGCAAACCAGAGTCTGATAATACAAGAAATGAACCCATATTTTCATAGTAGTGTGTGACACTAATGTCCCATGTCTTCCATAGTAACAAATACTCTTTGTCAGATTTATATGATTGAGTGCTTAGTTCAGCTAACTTCAATCATGTTGTATAATTTGCTCCATGTAAAAGTTTAAAGTTTATTATGTTATCTAATCCTATTAACTGATCAATATAATTCAGTTTGTCTTCATATTTCAGTGTATTCTATAATCCTCCTCATTCACATTATTCAGCTCACCGACATCATTCACTCACCCACCTAATTCAGCTCACCCACCTCATTCACTCACCCACCTCATTCACTCATCCACCTCATTCACTCATCCACCTCATTCACTCACCTCATTCACTCACCCACCTCATTCACTCACCCACCTAATTCAGCTCATCCACCTCATTCACTCACCCACCTCATTCACTCACATCATTCACTCACCCACCTCATTCACTCACCCACCTCATTCACTCACCCACCTCATTCACTCACCCATCTAATTCACTCACCTCATTCACTCACCCACCTCATTCACTCACCCACCTCATTTACTCACCTCATTCACTCGTCTCATTCACTCATCTACCTCATTCACTCACCTCATTCACTCACCCACCTCAATCACTCACCCACCTCATTCACTCATCTAATTCAGCTCACCCACCTCATTCATCTCACCCATCTAATTCATCTCATCCATCTTATTCAGCTCACCCACCTCATTCATCTCACCCACCTCATTCACTCACCCACCTCATTCACTCACCTACCTCATTCATCTCACCCATCTAATTCATCTCATCCATCTAATTCATCTCACCTACCTCATTCATCTCACCCATCTAATTCATCTCATCCATCTAATTCATCTCACCCACCTCATTCATCTCACCCATCTAATTCATCTCATCCACCTCATTCATCTCATCCATCTTATTCAGCTCACCCACCTCATTCACCCACCCACCTCATTCATCTCACCCATCTAATTCATCTCATCCATCTAATTCAGCTCACCCACCTCATTCATCTCACCCACCTCATTCATTCACCCACCTCATTCAGCTCATACACCCACCTCATTCATCTCATCCATCTAATTCAGCTCACCCACCTCATTCAATCACCCACCTTATTCACTCACCCACCTCATTCAGCTCATTCAACCACCTCATTCACTCACCCACCTCATTCAGATCATCACCCATCTAATTCAGCTCACTCACCTCATTCACTCACCCACCTCATTCAACTCATTTACTCAACTCTTTCACACATCTTATTCAGCTCACTCACCTCATTCATCGACCTCATTCACCTATCTAATTCAGCTCACTCACCTCATTCACTCACCCACCTCATTCACCTATCTAATTCAGCTCACCCACCTCATTCACTAACCCACCTCATTCAACTCATTTACCCAACTCTTTCACACATCTAATTCAGCTCACTCACCTCATTCACTCACCCACCTCATTCACCTATCTAATTCAGCTCACCCACCTCATTCACTAACCCACCTCATTCAACTCATTTACCCAACTCTTTCACACATCTAATTCAGCTCACTCACCTCATTCACTCACTCACCTCATTCACCTATCTAATTCAGCTCACTCACCTATCTAATCCAGCTCACCCACCTCATTCACCTATCTAATTCAGCTCACTCACCTCATTCACTCACCCACCTCATTCATCTATCTAATTCAGCTCACTCACCTCATTCACTCACCCACCTCATTCACCTATCTAATTCAGCTCACCCACCTTATTCACTCACCCACCTCATTCAACCCATTTACCCAACTCTTTCACACATCTAATTCAGCTCACTCACCTCATTCACCTATCTAATTCAGCTCACTCACCTATCTAATCCAGATCACCCACCTCATTCACCTATCTAATTCAGCTCACCGACCTCATTCACTCATCCATCTGATTCAGCTCATCCATCTCATTCACTCACCACCTCATTCAGCTCATTCACCCACCTCATTCAGCTCATTCACCCACCTCATTCACTCACCCACCTCATTCAGATCATCACCCATCTAATTCAGCTCACCCACCTCATTCACTCACCCACCTCATTCACTCACCCACCTCATTCAACTCATTTACCCAACTCTTTCACACATCTAATTCAGCTCACTCACCTCATTCACTCACCCACCTCATTCACCTATCTAATTCAGCTCACTCACCTCATTCACTCACCCACCTCATTCACCTATCTAATGCAGCTCACCCACCTCATTCAGCTCATTCCCCCATCTAATTCACTCACCGACCTCATTCACTCATCCATCTAATTCAGCTCATCCATCTCGTTCACTCATCCATCTTATTTGGCTCATCCACCTCATTCACTCATCCACCTCATTCAACTCATTTACCCAACTCAGCTAACCCATCTAATTCAGCTCACTCACCTCATTCAGCTCATACACCCACCTCATTCAGCTCATTCACCCATCTAATTCAGCTCACCCACCTCATTCACCAAATTAACCTCATCTTCTCATCCCCCTAGCAAAGAATAAAAAGTTATGTTGAGATCCAGATTTGGAAAGAGTAATCAATATATCAGAAGAAAACATAATTCCACACATAAACAGTGAAAAATAAGGCTATGTTCTTGGGTCCTTGAACTTTCCTTCAACAGCAAGTATCCCTAAAACTTTGACAAGGACTCCTTGACATTCATTATTCATTTCAAATACTATCCTTAATTGTCAGTTTCAACAATAACATAATCTGTCTAATTCAGTTTATTTCACACTGCGTATGTAATGTACTCCAAAGTTATTATGCTATGTATACATCAATGACACAACACTAAATAAAAAAACATAAATATGCAAATCATAAACGCTAACAACCAAAAATCTGTATGAAAAAGAAAACACTATGCTGATCTTTCAAATTAACACAATTAACTTCAACAGAAACATAAATCAATCAAATAATTTCAATAAAATTATTTTCTTACCTCAGAGGTGCATGTACATCCCTCTGTCTGAAAGTCCCTGGTTCCCCTGACGACAGATAGGTGTCGCCACTGGCCAGGATATAAAGATTGTATTGCACAATTCACTCGGGTCCTGTACTCCGATCCAGATTCCTGAGAGCTCTTGTCTGAATCAGCGCCAAATCTTTGGCAGGCCCTGACATTCGTCCAGTGAGGAACCGATCAGCCCCAATCTGAAGGAAAAGATTGGTCGTGTAATAGAAGACACACATACATGCTAAACACTGGCTAGCAGCAGGGTGTAATACTGAATGTTTCGGGAACATTTAGATGTTGGGTCACGGATATCTGTGGGATGATGCATAAAGAGAAGTGGTTCATATTATTGTTTGTGTGTGAAATAATGTTAAAAGATATTTATGATGTTGCTAATTTTTTTAACTAGTTGTAAATCTGTTAATTGGGTTTACTTTTTGTATGATACATAAATTAATGCACATCACCATTTAAACTTATGCTGAATCATCAATCCAGGTGTAACCTTCATGGGAACAAAGGTCAAGTGAAGTATGTTATGCTTTCGTGTTCAGCTTTGTTATTTTTACAGTCATTACAAGATCGTACCTACTCACATATAGGTCAATAGGGAAATAATTAGCTTTGTCAGTTTTCATGAGTTATTTTCCCTATTTAGCTTCCTGCCTATGCAAGCTGTGGGGTATTTTTTCAAACATTTTTTTATGCTAATGGCTTATGTAATAATCACCCTTGTATACATAGGGACTTATTCTTGTCTAACAGGAACCTCATTAAAATCCTAATGATCAACCATTTAGGGATTCTTGTAAAAGATATTTAGGGAGGGGCACTGCTTCAAAACAGACAATTATTTTCAGTGAAAAAAGTCTCGCATCTAACACCTACGGCAGATTACCTTGCATAAGTAGAGACTTATTATTGTTTATGAGGAACCTCATCAAAATCTTAAGGATCAACCATTTAGGGAGTCTTGTAAAAGTTGGGGAGGCACTGCTTCGAAACATTTTAAATGCCTACAGCAGTCTAAAGCTAACTAATGATCCAAACAATTTAACTCTTTACTATAACACAATAGTTTCGGGACACCCAACATTTCCAGCAAACAACTGATTCAGGAATGGCAAACATTACTGAGAGAGTAAGATACTCTAGATAATTTATTGTACGCTTCATAAACGTGATGCAATGCAAATACTGACTGGCGGCAGTCTGTGTAAAAAAGGACAGTATAATATAATAATTTCATCAAACTTGATAGGAAAAAGGGAATCATGATAATAAAACCACTGTATTAACATGAGATGTGTGACATTGGTGGCATAACAAGAAAACAGGGTTATCAATATCCCCTGCCATGGGGCACAGAAGAATTGTGTTGTTTCATTCAGTAGTGAATATAAACTATAAAAAACAAGTCCTATGTAGCCTTAAGAAGAGATTAGCACTTGAGCCGCTTTATGGAATCAGAAAAAATTATTAAATGTGAAATTTAGCTTAAGAAGAGATAGGCACTTGAGCCGCTTTATGGAATCAGAAAAATTATTAAATGTGAAATTTATACACACAAAAGGCCCCTTCTCTGGAAAAATAACTCAGTCTTGATAAGTATAGATAAGCTAACTTCAGTAGTTTCTGAGAAAACTTGTCCCTATTGCGCACACTTTGCACAAAGTAAAATAACATGGATCAAGGGCCATAACTCTGTGAAAGACAATATGACAGGATCAATTTTCGAACTCAGTCTTGACAAGAATCTCTTACATAAGCATGTAAAGTTTCAATCATGCAACTGCAGCAGTTTCTGAGAAAACTTGTCCCCATTGCACACACTATGCACTAAGTTCAAAAGCACAGAGCAAGGGACATAACTGAACTTAGAACACTAATTTTCGAACTCATTTCACATCATGACTAGTAACAGTGTGTAAAATTTAATTTCTCTGACTTCAATAGTTTTTGAGAAAATTTGTCCCCTTTGAGTAATGGACAGACAGACTAACTCCGTTCCTATATCCCCCGCCCAAACTTTGAGGCAGGTAACACACCACAAGAGCTCAATCTACCACCGAGTGATAAGAAGCCATCACTAAAGGGTGGTAGCTGGATTTCTGATGCTGTGGTTACTGAATAGTTGATATGAGAGTATCAGCTACTTCACTTTGTAATTAACACCATGCCATTACAGTTGCCCCACTGCCCTACTGTATAACAGTGGTAACAGACTTTTTTACATTTGCACTCCACTTTTTGCCATGCATACACTGACAAACCCATAATCACATTGTTGAACAGACACATGTGACACAGATTCAGGAGGATGCTGGGTGTTCGCATCCCAACTTTTTTTCAGACACCCTACATGCCAAGCAGTGTCATGTTACTGCATGTTCACTTGGTAGTATGTGCAGTTCTGAATCTGCCTCCGAGAATGGTTTGTTTATGTTACAATCAGCTCTGATGAGGACAACATATTGTAATGTCATTCTGTCAGCTGATTTCTCCCATTGACTTACAGGTAAGGTTAAATGAAGCTGACTGGTAATTCAGAATTATCTCCCCTGGCTGGCTGCATGTGCATACATTCAAAACACAGTTTTAAAAGTCTACCAAAATGTCATGAGGTCTTTTTGTATGGCCTCAGACATTTGATAACAAATATAGGATAAAACCTGGTAATATAACTTTGGGTATGTTAATAAAAAATATCTCTATCTATATTAGGAATCTTTGATTGTTTTTAGTAACACTTTAATCAAATATCACAAACAGATTTAAATTATTTCTGTCAGAGTGGATACAAACAAGAGACCCATAGGGCCTGTATCGCTCACCTGGATATTTACGCAATTGTGCATGGATATAATACTGCCAAATATTTCGTAATTTGACTCTGTCAGCATTTAAATGGGGTGGATGGCAAATTTGACAGCATAAACGTGTACTTCTCTAAATACACATGTAGCGCAAAGATCTGAACCTTCTCCATGTTATGATCCAGGATCTAGGTTTCCAGAGGCAAGGCTGGACCCCAGGGTAAATCCTATTGGCATTAATGTATTATTCTCCTCATAACAAACAAATGTATACAATGTATCTGTTTATCATAGGGTGGGGATAATATCGGTTTGCATGTTATGGTCAAGGTTCTTACTCCTTTGGGAGTGCTGGACAGATGAACAGAAGGGCCAATCCTGGTAGCATATGTGCATTCTTCTCATTATACTCAGCAATTGTACAAATAATACGGTGGGGTGTAAACTCTTTTTGGCCCCGCCCCTCAGCCCCTTGTGGGGTCAGCCACTGGGGGGATGAGCCCGACCATTTGTACAATTGTGAATTCCCATCATCTTAGAATACTTCCAACCAAATATGGTTGATATCTATCTCTTAGTTCCAGAGAAAAAGTCGTATAAAGCAATTATATAGCCAAATTACCCCTATTTGGCCCCGCCCCTAAGCCCCTTTGAGGGTCAGTCCCATCATTTGTACAATTTTAATCCCCACCACCTAGGTATGCTTCCAGTCAAATTTAATTAATTTCAAATTAGTGGTTCAAGAAAAAGAAGTGGTTTGAAAAAATTGTTGACTTTCAGACCACGTACGACATGGTATGGCAAAAGCTCCCCTTGGTGCTTCGGACCCGATGAGCTATAAATGAAGTGGAAAAGGAGTTTTATGCTCTTAAAGTCAATAAATAATTCACGATAAAAAACAACCTGAAATACAGAAATCGGTGTATTAAGCAGCCTGATCCAGTAATATCCCCCTAACCAATCTGTAATCTTTATAAGAGTTCCCAACATAGACCATGCAAACATCTGCATGACAGTCCATATTTTCTTGTGTAGCCTATATTATGGATTTTACATTTGTCAATATTCTCAGCACTAGGGGTGCTTTTAGTGGTGAATATGGTAAGGATGACAGGGAACAGGATATTCTAGCAACCACTTTTATATCTTTGAGGGCCAACTATTATCTGACCAACCATATGCATTGTGAAAGGAAATTTTACTAAACTAGAACATCCAAAAGCTAAATACTGTGATCTTTAGATGCCGATCTCTGTAAACAACATTGTGGTGTGCCTCTGTCATGTTCAGTGTGATTATCACTTAAAACTAATCCCTCTCCACTCTTTTTATAGAAGCCAGTTACTTGAATAAACAATATTGTTACCATGAACGTTTATACCTATATTCAGGGACAACGCCAGAGTGACATTTTGTGGTGCTCATCAATTTTTGTTTTTCAACTTGCTTATTTTCTGTCTCCAAAACAGTCATTGTTTTGGGCTCCCTCTTGATTTACTTTATATTTTTAGATATTTATTTTTAAATAGAGATAACTTTATTTCTGGGACTAAATGCCAGTCTACTTCCTTATTGGAAAATGACAAAAAATTCAACAGTAAGGTAGGTGACTTCTCACTGTGCCTACACCAGTACTTCTATTCTGCCTACACTTAAAAAAGCTGAACAAACTCTCAATAAAATGAGACAGTCCATTTGTTGACACATTGACCACAGAAACAAATTATCAGGTTAGGTTTTTAATCTCATCTTTCATTTGCACTGCATTCATATCATTTTCATACATCATGGTAGTGGCCGGCATAAATACTTGTGAAGAAAAGTTCTTTCTTCCCCTGTTACAGAATGTAATGCATGAAGTGTTTTATTACAGTAGATAGGGTGATATGTGGTCACAAGAAGCCACTTCTGGGTGTGTTATTACAGAAGATAGAGTGATATGTGGTCACTAGAAGCCACTTCTGGGTGTGTTTTATTACAGTAGATAGGGTGATATGTGGTCACTAGAAGCCACTTCTGGGTGTGTTATTACAGAAGATAGAGTGATATGTGGTCACTAGAAGCCACTTCTGGGTGTGTTTTATTACAGTAGATAGGGTGATATGTGGTCACAAGAAGCCACTTCTGGGTGTGTTATTACAGAAGATAGAGTGATATGTGGTCACTAGAAGCCACTTCTGGGTGTGTTATTACAGAAGATAGGGTGATATGTGGTCACAAGAAGCCACTTCTGGGTGTGTTTTATGACAGTAGATAGGGTGATATGTGGTCACTAGAAGCCACTTCTGGGTGTGTTATTGCAGTAGATAGGGTGATATGTGGTCACAAGAAGCCACTTCTGGATTTGTTATTACAGTAGATAGGGTGATATGTGGTCACTA